GACCTTCGGGTGCCTAACTCTCCCAATTTCAGTCTCCATTCAGCTTACACTATCCTATGAGAAGTATATTGGACATTGAAGCTTAGAAGTAGACACATATTTAGGTTGTGCGTTACCACATCTGTTACTCTGATAGCAGATATTCTGTCCAGTTACACAGCAGTATATATATGCCTTTGATGTCTTTTGAGGCAAATATTACCACGTTAGTTTTCCTCCTGATTATTATTCGCAGATCGTGTGTATCTTTGGAGAGTAATAGTCCTAATTTTGTCAACAAAGATGAAAATGATTCTGTCTGTATGGATTACCTCCAGAACGTGTCGTTATATGTAAAAGACATAGTGTATAATATGTCATCAAACACTGCTCCCGTTTCATTTTGTGGCTGGTGTGGTGGTGCATTACAGCAAATGAAGTCGATTGTAGAAAACCGTGAAATTCGTAATGCGGATGGGAAGTCTTGCTACGATCTTTTGACCAATACGGAAAAAGTGAGCACCTTTTGATTTCGAAATTCCATGTTATATATTTTATAATCAGTGTTATGAAGTGTAAATCACTGATAAAAACGGACTACTTTTAGCACACGAACTTGCAATGTAAATCAAATTACTGATGTAAGATAGTCAGTTTTGATTATTCTGAAACTTCTGGAGTTTATAAATGTAAGTAGTGACATCGGTCCAGGTTCTACTGCTTATTTTACGATACTACTAGCTCAAGCTATTCATGTGCTCCGATTGTAAACTTAAATACACAACTTGTTTCACTAACCATTTACTAATTTATCACTATAAAGTTTATAGTTTAATTTCGTAAGAGTTTTTTGGAGCTAAATTACCATTGCCTTAGTTAAAAACATACGATTTTGCAGAGTTTCCAGCAAAATTACTGACTTCGATCATCACATTTTGTCAGAAAAGAGAACGAAATCAAAGAGATATACAACAACGGTATAATAGGAAAAAGTTCTCATCCTGAACTTATGTCATTTACATATGAGGTTGGTGATTTCGTCCCACAATTTCTGCATTTCACGTATAAATTAACAGTGGACAGCAAAATACTAATGTGCGTCGGTGGCACAGTGGTTAGGACTCTCGCCGACCATGCACATGGTCCGGGGTTCGATCCCCTGCCGGCGCACACCCGATATCTATGGTCGGCCTGAATTTGGGCTACCGATATCCATGCTGAAAATTCCATACTTGTACTGAAAGTACGGTGTGGAATCAAGCTGTAAATCAAAAAAATAAAATAAAATACAATAATGGCAGTTAGGACTATGGTGTTCATTACTGGTCTTCAACACATGAATAAACACGCATTTCTCCTAGTCAAAGTGTTTAACAAACTCTTTAATTTTGTGTAGTTAACCATTCCAATAGATTTCAGATGCTATATATATATTGTTTGTCACTGATATTGATGTGTCTGTTATCGTATAAACCTACTGCAAAAAGCAGTGAGTACATTCTGTGTAACATAAATCCAATAAACAAGTGTTACTGAAGGGTATATTATCAGTCTTCATACTATGGCAGTTAGTGTCTTAAACCTTAGCTTAAAAGAAACCTTCGTGGTAATTTTTAATCTATTTTTTTTTACCCTAATCAAAGATTGTTTAAGGTCAGCGTGACGAATGAAATCTACTTTAAATTCTCACGCCTTCTTTAGGTGAAGTAAATATCATTTAAGTCCTAGCTGTGTGTAGATCTTATATCCTATAAACTATTTTACAACTTCTGGACTCTTTGCCTGAGTTTGTTTTTATTGAGGACTTTCTCGCTAATGCTGGATTGCCTTTGTACTTTATAAAATTCCTTATAATTTTTGTTTTCCCACGCGGCATATGACTTCGTTAGTTTAGTAGTAGAGATTTCATTGTTCGGCTAAACGACTTGTTCTGTTTAGTTATGAAGATATTTTACCAAACAAAAATGAAGTTTTTCTTGGTGTAAAATCCATATATAAGGTGTGAGTAATGAGTAAATTAAGAAGCTTCATTTATTACCGGTGTTGTCCATCTAATAAAATGAACCACTTAAAAACCAATACCATGTTGTAATGACTTTGTTTTATTTATCTTTTAACCTGTTTGTAAGTACTTAATAAACGAATGATATTTCTAACATAATATTTATGGATGCCGCGTGTAATAATAGGTATTGAGATATTAGTGTAAAACAGACTTTATTAACCGACTCTTTTCTCCAACCACTTGGGTTTACTACAAACGCTAATTGAGCATTCCACTAACACCCTGCGTAGTCAAGCACAGCCCGGAGAAGGGATTTAGAGTTTGCTCTGGATATCTCTACATAGGAACCTATATAAAGTCATGTTAATGACAAGATCTAACTTAGTGCAATGTAAAGCCACTGGAAATACCGATGAATTGCCAATTGTTGTCATTATTATCGTTTTCTCCTCAAGAATGTATTTTATAAGTATTCGTATTTCCAGTTAATCTTTAGGCGAATAATAACTAATTAGTGGCGATGTTGCTTTCTGGTTAAAAATGTCTTAATCTTTTACAATGAAATTTCAAACAGCCATCTGTTATACGCTCGACAAACGATTGGCTGAGTAAGAAATATTGCAACTGAAAATATGGGGCTACATGCAGATTTAGCGGATATATTTATTAAAATAATCTAGTTTCGGTTTATCTCCAATAAAAAGTTGTCAGTTAGGGATGCTGTCACCAAGGTATGCAAAGAGGATACGAAAAATAAGCAAGGACAATAAAGTGTTTCGTAGATCCAATAATCAGCGTCTCTCATATCATTTTATCAAGTTTCACCACACATTTTGTTGGTATACTACCAGGACAATTATCCTACATATCTCAAATGTAATTCGAACGACAGAATCAGGTGGTGGAGTTGTGGGTTCATCGGTCGTCTAGGGTTTCAACTGCCAGTCGGTGGGCCACGGTTACAAACCCAGCCCCAACTGCCAAGTTTTTGGGTAGCTAGGTAGTGACATTAACGCCCATAGGATAGGTATGGCTCATTATCAACTGCATGGAATTGCAAGTGGTTGCTGAATAACATTTCATTTTCATTTCGATGATTCTAATTATAACTTGGTTTTAGGTGAAAAGTTAAGCACATTAAGCAAAAGAGAAAAGAGACTTCTATCAATCTAAGTATAAAACAGATGTTGCAACATATATTGAACTGCTCAAGTTCTTCGCTGTAATGTTACTCATGAAAATTCACTTGGCGTATAGATGTTATCGTTTGTTTTTTAATATGTCGTGATGAATTTTAATTATTTGTGTTTTTAGGGCACAATCGATTCAATTGATTTTATTTTTGATAAATGGAACAGTTCTTTTTGTTCCCATTGCTTGGAAGCATCTGCTTTATATCATAATGTTAGTATATCAGACAGGTCAATCTACAACATCAGACGATCGAACAATTCTTTGGGCACATTTTATAATTTGGAGGCCTATAGTGACAAAGTCATTACTTTCTTTGATAAACTGGATGATACTTTGAATTGTTTCAATAAGTTTTTCAGTATTCCTAACATATCTCTTCTCAATGTATTAAATTTTCCTTCATCTAGAAGTTTGAATATAAGCCATATGGTTTGTAATAACTGTTCTACCGTGTACTACGCATTGTTAGATTTTTACAATAACCAACTTTTAAGATATAACACACTGGATGGAGAACATGGACAACTCAAGGTGCTAGCCCAAAATGGTTATCGTTTTGCTGTGTGTTTGGATGTACAAGATGCTATAAACCGTACTCAATGGGCGTGGTACAATTTGTTTCAATGCCGAACTGAGGAGATTAATCCGATTGGCTTTCTGTTACCATTATTAATATGTATCGTTTTCCTGATAACTTTCCATGCTCTTGCTCAGTCAGTATGTCGTCATCCAGTTCATCTAATGGTGTATAGACCAAAACGTGTTGAGCCTACAGTTAGAACACAGCAGAGACTTCTTAGTACGTCTTCAGTTACACAGGACCACACATCATTGATCAGATCATATGGTAGCATAGGATCTGTGGGGGAGACTAATTTAATGAACAAAAACACAGTCATGAGAAGTTTCTCATCGTCTTAACCACAACACAATCTAATTGATATCCATGCAAACGGCAGTGGAGGATACACACTGTAAACACTGAGAAGTAGTGAAAAACAACTTAGTACTAAACAAAACTGTTTTAATGTCTTTCACAAAGTGATTTCATATTTTATTTATCCTTTTCACAGTCAATCAAGCAATTGCCAATCAGGATTGTTATAGTATTTTCAATTTCACAGATTTTCTCTTCAATATGCTGAAGTATAAGATGACTGGAATTAAGGAAAATAATTTTTATATTTTTTAATTTTCGAAAATTCCAACAATCTTATAAATAAGAAAAAGGATATTTTTGTTGTTTACTTTGTCGATCATTTTTATCATGTTCTCTTGGAATTGTTTCAATACTTCAGTCATCTGGAGTATTCAATTTCAATGTAAAACAAATTGAAATATTACCAAACTGAATAATTCGTTAAATCCTTCGTCCTCCGACATTTGTATATTTATGAATAAACTTTTTGTCTACTATAATACAAATTATTGATTGGATGCGTATGATTTTGAAATATCACCTGACTCTTAATTTTCACGTATTATACAGTAAAACTTAACTATTTCAGCAAGGTTAAAATCAACTTTCTTGATAGCAGAAATCTAAATATAGAGATTTAGAAGACAAAACATAACAGAGTGAAGAATATTCTTTCTGATAACCTGTAGAACGTGGTAATGAACTTGCTTTGTAATGTATGAAAAAATGTAATGCTACCTGTACATTTGAATGTCGTAATAAGGTCTAAATTTGCTAAAATCCGTTGGCGGATAATACTAGTACACTCATGTTTAAGATCAGTTGGTTCCACTTTTAGGTAGATATTTTCCAGGAGACAGAAACACAGATAGATTTAAGACGATATATATATATATATGGTTGGAAAATGAGAATACAATTTTAGACAGTATAAAACGTATTTAATACTTCTACTTGAATTGAATATTTGACAAATACATTGATTTACGTAAGGTAACAGCGTAAGAAATATCAATGTGTCTTCAATAAAAGTGGAAATCGAATAAGCTGTACAACTTGTATTCACCCCGTTGATTGATATTTGAGCATTATAATCTTATAAGCAGACCAGAACTGGTGTGAATCCTATGTAAAAGTGGCAGCAAGTAAGATATAATATTAGTGTAAAATCAATTTTATCTGGCAGAAATAAAGTATTTTTATGTGTAGGTTAAAGAGAAGACGAAGTTTACTTTAAAAAATATGTTCAATGCACTTTCTATGGGATTTTCGCAGTTCGAAATAAACGTCTAACAAACATGCTCAAAATGTAACAGCTGTATATAACGATGAACTACAAATTTATCACGATAACTATAAGCATTCTAAGAGTTCTACCTGTACATTACTGGGCCAGAATTGCTTATCATTACCTGTTAAGTGTGATCTTTATAGTATTATTCTAGAAACACTACTGGAACAGAACATTTGTACTAGGTAAGTAAATATAGTGAAGTAGAATTATTATTTGTTGGTACTAAAAATTGTTAGTAGATTTGAGGATATAAGTTAGTGTATGTTGTGAAGTCATAAGATAAAATATAGGCGTTTTAACTTAGCATAAAGTGGCTTTCTACCATTCTAAATGTCATCCCAGATAGTAGATGACTCGGTGACTTGAGACGCTATGGCTTAAAGTTGAAATTAATATCAGGGATATTGTGCGTTCCTGTCCCCCATTTTGAACAAAATAGACCCAAATGTGTTTAGGTAACTGATCTTGCTTTCCTCATCAGTAATATCTTCCACATAACGTACTACAAATTAAAATTACCACGCTAACTCATTAAGGGTTAATATCATGTCTCCCTCGTTTTGTATAATTTGCAGCAAACCTACACCGACAAACACTGCATACTAGCATATAGATCTAAGGGTCTATCTAACCTAGTGTTTAGTATTGCATAGTGGCATTCGATTTGTTTAGTTAACACTATGCTCTTAAAATCAGCATTTCGTTTGACGGTTGTATTTCGAATGCATTGATGATTCAATACATAAAAGCACTGTCTGTCACCAACTTCTAATAACCATGTGCTAACTCCAAAAATAGTAGGATACGGTGAACTGGTTTTTACAACACACTCAAATATCTTGTGAACACCACATGTAGTGTGGACCAACAAAAACCTGTGAGTGCCAAGGTCTTTTCATTCACAGTTTTGAAGCAAATACTGAGAAAACGCAGTGTTGAAATGATTGAAACAATTAGACTTTTTTATTTCTTCTGACACAATTTACAGGTGTCTACTTGTCTTTATTTAGTACGGAATACAGCTGAAGGTATACCACTTCTCCTCTCGTTCTTCCTTTCATCTGTAAGAATGAACTTTGGAACTTAATTATAATGCAGTTCTTACTGGAAGGATTTTCATGAAAGTCAATATCATCCACTCCAACTGTTTTACATGTTCATATTCATAAGTAACGATTTAAACAATTAAATAAGATAAATGACATATATGTCATCAATTGGGAAGTTAAAAACTTACGAATTTAAAGTTCCAGCACCTAAATGAGCTAGTATGTGATACATATGACCCAGGTAAGAATCTTTGCCAAGATTTCGATTGAATATTTCCTGAATTCGAAGTGTTTCAACAAACAGAGGTACATTATTATTACTACAATATTGTAACACTGAGTTAACATTCAAACAGAAATTATGAGCGGATTAAGACGCTGAGAACTCACAGCTACGTCGTTGTTCAATTTTCAGTCAATAGGTATGTTAGCAAGTGTTCTGAGTAGGCAAATGTACATCGTTTGTTTTTAGTTAGTACGCACTGACGACTGTTTTCGGGATTATACAGCTAACTCGAAAAAGGTAACAAGTTGCTTATAAAATCACAAGGATTGCTAAACAGTTCTTTCATGAGCCGTAAGATCGGATGTTTTCGTTATTTTTGAAATGGGTTCTACCAGTGACTGCAGAGGTCATCATAACTTCAATTCACGTGACTCAGTTGAATACAACCGCAATAGGAAAATCTTAAGCAACAAGAAGAGGCAGAACGAGGGATGGCTCACACAGCGAACACCTGAAAGCCGATAGAGAGAAGGAAGGTGAGGCAGATGATCAAGGGCAAAGGTGAACTAAGTAAAGAAAGCTGATTATAATCTACAGCACACTGTACAAATTAGTTAGGAAGGGTAAGGGGAAGCCAAAAAACGGCTTTACGAAAAACTGGCAATTGAAGCAAAAGGCTTCAGGTAAGAGAGATGACGACACTACATCAATACCCGCTTCCTATCCAGGAAGAGATCGATGCAGATGAAACCAATGAAAGATAGTGAAGGGAACCTAATTATAAAAAGGAGAAACAAAGTAAACGCTGGGTCGATCATTTCGAAAGACTGCTGAGTTGCCCACCATTTACGACTCGTCCGGAAGTAACACTAGCAGACACAGAGCCAGAAGGCCAATCAAAGCTTCCCAGTTATACATCAATATTATGCACGTGAACTACAAGTCTTCCCCATCATTTCTGGACACGGAACCACCAACAGTGAACACCTACCCTTCTTGAAAACCATAAGTTTACTGTGCCGGGAAAGCAGCAGGGATAGATGGGGTCCTTCCAGATACATGGGCCTACAGACCTCAACCGATATGCTTACGCTCCTACTGTAGAAGGCGTGGAAGGAAGCAAAGGTATCTGCTGTTTGGAAGAAAGGCTACTTTGTCAAACCTTCAAAGAAGGGTAGTTTAAACTCATGCAAGAACTGCTTCTGTCCATCCTAAATAAAGCAATAAACTGCATAGTCTTGGAAAGACTACAAGATGCTCAAGATGAAAGACTGTGACGGGAACAGGCTTGATCTACAAAAAAGAAATCATGCGCGGAACAAACCGCAACACAAGATATGATAACTGAACACAGTATAGAATGGCAGTCAAATCTATATCTCAGATTCATCGATTTTGAAACACCTTTTGGCAACACTGACCGTGATGTAATCTGGAAACTGCTTCAACACTACGGAGTGCCTCAAACCTTTATCAACCTCATACAGCAGCTATATGATGATGCCACATCGAGGTAATTCACAAAAGAAGGCTCAGTCAATACTTCTTAGTAAAGGTAGTAAGACAAGGTTGACTTCTATCACTGGTGATACTGTCAGTTGTAGTGGACTGAATCATACAACAGACTGTAGAGAGTGAGAAGCTGAGTATACGTTGGACTGACCAAAGGAAATACTGGGAGATATGGACTTCGCCATTGACTTATGTCTAGCGTCTCATAAATTCGAAAGTCTACAGGTGAATCCCAACAACTTCGAAGAAGAGGCAGTGGAGAGAGGATTTTATGTGGGCATAGAGAAGATAGCCAGCCACCATCAATGGGAGATATCTAAGGGGAGTCATGTCTTTCATTTACCTGAGTAGCAGGCTGCACGGATAATAATGTCAAATTTAACACTAAGGAAAGAAGACGCGTTCATTGGTATGGGATTGGTGTTGAAACTTTATGTTCCGTTTAGACTGCAAGCAATGAATGCTACTACTAATAATAATAGCAGCAAAGGAAATACTGAGGATAATCTTGGGTTGAATTACACAACGTTCTCGCGGTCGTAACTGGTTACTTAACAGTTCTAACATGTTTGTAAATTAATGATGTAACAACTGAGTGTTAAACACCAGGAAAATACTTTGACGACTACATCTTCGTTTCGTAAAAGCAAAAGGAACCGTAAAGCCAGACAACTGAGGTGGTCGAAATCTTTCGTTCTTCCCTAATATTATGTAAAGACGTCTTCACTTTTAGCAGTAACGAACTCGTACACTTGCTGCAAATGCGGAAGTAAGCAAGTAAGATGAACAAACCGATTTCACATAAGGATTTGAAAATATCGAGTACTGCGTAAGTAGTATTCATTGTTACTAGAAACTCGCATATTTTAATACGATAATTGACAATTTTGTCTAGCTTTTTATTTATTAATAAAAAAAGTTAAATAAGTTTATCTTTATGACTACACTCTTAAAAACAATGTTTTCATAGCGTAATGCACGTTAATTACCTGTGTAGACTGAAGGAACAAAGTACACTAAATACAAACCTGATCATAGTTCTCATCTTTATAGTAGCAGATGAAAAGATTTAAATAAATGTCAGATAATATTAACAGCTAGTGATTACAGGATAAACTTACGGATAATAATATTTCTTTGAATTTGGTCCTTTTGATCATTGTTAACAAACCTCGTTGACCGGCTTTGTATGCTCGAAGAAAACGACCAAGGTGAGGAGCAGAAATATACCAACTGCTTTCAGATTTAATCGTCAAAGCACCATAGTGAATCAGAGTGCTTATTTCACCATCAGAAAAATTTTCTAATGCAACAGGCTTACATATACTTAGATGATGATACTTCTTACTACAGAAATCAGAAAATTTCTCTAGATTCATTAAAATACAATCAAACTGATACAACCTAAAAGTTCCACATCACCGACAGGACAAGATAGTTCCGTGAAGGAACTAACAAAATCATCAGACTTCATTATGCCAACAGAGTCGTCTATTTCATCATGTATTTTAAGTAAACGTATCTTTTGAGAATTTTGCATTTCTAGCTAGATTTGTTACACATCCACAAATATATAAAATACAACATACCAGTTGCGACTCTATCTTGTTTTTATTTTTAACTAGTGCGTACAACTGGGATTTCAAGATAATAGGACGACCAAGATTTTTAAAGTTCATTGGAGGATACAGACCAAATAGGTATTCCAAAGCATCACCAACAGTTTCTAAAACAAATTATTCCATATCAGAAAAACTCCTTACGCATTTCAGGTATGCTGCATATCTTTATGAGTTTTGGGGGACTCTTGTCGTTGGCGTTTGCTGTTTTACGTTTCATTGGAATTAGCAACCAAAATCAGCTGTATTTGAGGAAATTATTTACCAAATAATTATAAATCTATTTGTTTTGGTTTATGGATTCACATGAAATGAAGTCTCATGAAACGTCAAATAAAATTCTTTCATCGGAATGAAAAGTTTGAAGGTGAAGTGTGTGAACTCAAAGAATGGCGTCATTCCCAAGCAAAATGGGCGTATCTACACCACTAACATGGCTTCTGAAATAATGCACCGATGGTTTCGTTTGTGAAACCTTACATGAATATGAGCTAATTACCATAGGGCGACACATAATGTAATGTGTGATTGAGTTTGAACCACTGCATCTTGATCGTAAAATAATGAGAAATTTAGACACCTACTGATATCCTCTTAGAATTATATCTAGTGTTGCACTGAGACAGAAACTTTGAGCATAAGACAAGCCTCTAACAAACTTCAGCTGAAACATCACAACGAATGATCTTTCGCTGTTTTTAACATACTCCAGTCTACCTGATACTGAGACGAGTGAAAACAAAAGTGAATTAACAAACGTTGTCTGTTTTTAGTGCTTAAATTATCTTTTTCTCTGCCTGTTTCTTTACATGTAGCTTTTCTGGAATTTCAATCGACCCTGTGTCAAAGTTAAAGTTTGGGGGATGGATAGCGGTACCAGTAAGTACTAATGGAGTGCGACCGCACCAATGACCTTGGGACGCTCAGTGAGCAAGTTCGTGAAACCTGGCAAATAATGTTGTAATAATGAGTAAAATATGCTGAATGAAATTATATTATTAAATGGGATATCTGGCAAGTTTCCGGTTAAATTAGGGGAAGACTGAGTTCAGGTTTAATCTAAGAACAGGTTAGGTTAACCTGAAGAGGGAGACATTAATTAGGATTTGTTCGAGTTAGATTAGGGTTAGTTTAGGGATATCTTCACGTTAGGATAAGGTAGGGGAAAGATAGAGGTTACTGTTCGGGTTAGAAGACCTAGATTATTACATGCATAGAATGTTGTTAAGCAACTTTGCTGATACTCCAATCAAAAATGTCACACGTCAGAGGAGGGTATCCTGTGTAATAGTTCCATGCCTTTTAGTCCATTAATTTCATGAATATATGTATTTTATACGCAAACGTCACCTATATCATTTAGTTGCTGAGTTCTAGGCCATTTTCCCTAAGCACTTTTCAGTGCTTAAGGTATAACTTTGCTAACCCTATTTACAGCTTGTTCACTGATCAAGGTGGAGCGAATGTATATATGCGTCTTAAGTATACCTTCCGAAGCCTCATAATATACTATTTAATATATTATTAACTGGATACTCTGACTGACTGCTCAGGGTTATCCGCTTGGATAGTGATACCTTTTATTTTCTAGCCATTGTTTATGCGACATTCCCGAATAACAAGAAGGGAGAAATATATTTTCAAACAACGCGGAAGTTGATAAAGGTCACGAGATAGTGGTATCGGCTGCCTTAAACATACATCTTTACAATGAGGTTGAATATAAATCGAGATTCCTTTGATGTCTTCTGTTGTTCTAGATATCCGCCTTATTTCGAAGTTATCTGTCCGCTGGACTACTGGATGTAGTAGTAGGGGTCCGAATATCCATAATCGTTTTTACGAGCTGACGCATGTTTTGCACAATCTTAGAAAGAGCTTAGAGGTGAGTGCACATAACTACCTGTGTGTAAAGTGTATGACCACATATACCCTCTCTACATCTCTCCCATAAGAACTAAACCTAAGTCACGCTCCGACGTTGTGCAGGACAACCTTTGGTTACACAGGGTGTAACTTGCATTGTGCAACCCACATGTGCGTAATTTCACCCCTTTGCACCTTTTCAGGTTGAAAGTCATGCCATTGGCCGCCACCCAGCCTTCCAGAAATTTTAGACCTGCCTGCAGCCTATCTGAGTCATCCGAATATTTTATTGCTCACCATATCCTTACGTAGTCAGCGTATAGAAGAGTCGGGCAGCTTAGACTTTATGTTAGGTCAATGACAAAAATCACAAACATCAGTAGCCCTAGGATAGAACTCTGCGACATTCCTAATGACGAGCCATGACAGGATGATAGGACCCGACTGATCTTGTTGCAGAATTTCCTTTCACCTAGGTAGTCCTTTAAACATGACAAGAGCGGTTCACCTATACATGTCTGATTCATTTCGTGTGGGAGGAGGTCATAGCGAAACTGCCTTCTCAAAGTCTAGGAAGACCACATGGACAGGAACATTCATATCCCAGCATGATGTTCAATCGTCCTAAGTTGATAGTAGGTTTTTTACACAGGATCTGCCTTCCCTAAAACAGTGTTGGACTTCATGGAATCCATTTGTCCTATCGGGGTGCTCCCTGATGTGATAATCAATGATAGTTTCCAGTAATTTTGATACTACTTGGAGTAGGGCCACTGGTCAATAACTAGCAACATTTCGCCTGCCCCCACTCTTGAAAATTGGAGATAAGATGGTTTTTCTTCACTGCCTTTGCAGATTCCCCGAATCAATCGAGTGTTGGGACGAGGGCCTATAGAAAGCTTCAGCTCGCTGTTTCAGAACAGATGGCCTGATGTCGTCACAACCAGGGAGCTTTCGAGATGTGAGTCTCTGTAGCTCCCCAGTATTTTTCCGGATTTATTTAGAGAGTAGCCACTAGGTTTTCCTCTGGGGAGATAGTAGTATCGCCATTGTAGTCAGTAACAGTAATACCCACATTTCTGTTTAACTTTTTGGTGAAGGCTAAAGTGAATGCTTCAGCCATCTCCAGACTAGTTTTGGTGGTGATTATTTGGGACTACTGAGGCGCATACCTCCTGACTGGTTAGTTTTCTTTCCGACATGAATGGGAAATGACTTTTGGAGTTCGCTAGGAGTTTTTTGGCAAGGTCAGTCCGAAAGGACCTCCTGCCACTCCAGACTCTCACGTCGCACCTATTTGAAAGTTCTAGGTACTCGTCACGGTCGGTCTGGCTCTTCAATATTCGCCACGTAGACCAAGCCTTCTGCTTTGCTTACCACTCTTCATCCATGAGGACCTTTTTTTAGGCTTTGTTGTAACTAAAGGGGCGGTATTCGAGATTGCTGTGTGAATAATATCTTTCACCACCTCCCAGTGTTTATCCACTCATCCCATTCTAAAGGACATTCTGCGACGGACAAAAGCCTCCACATTCCAGCGTGGTCCGCCTTGTTAATAAACAGACGTGGTCAGTAGCGTCCCACAGTAAGTACTCATGGAGAATAAGATCGAATTCTGTGACTGCACGGTCACTACTTCCTAGTGGACTCATGATCTGGACGTTTTCAACGAATAGTTGGTTACTAGCTAGAATATAATCTAGATTCGGTGACTTTCCAGTGGCGCCGCACCTAGTGTTGTCTCCGACATTCCCAGTCAGTCCTGTATTTCGAATGATTTGCATCAGGTTTCGACCGAGTTTTCCCTAAGCATACCCCTAGCCAAGGTTCAGTGATGTGGCCTTGAAATCTCCAACTATGGTGATTTGGGCATAGTCCAAGTCTCGTATCCCTGTGATAGTGCTGAGCAGTAGCTGGTTGTGCTCTGCCCCACAGATGGGTGATCGGTAGATGCCACCCAGTAAATGCTTAGTGTGGTTTATGGTGAAATGACACCATATAGAGTCTGGGAGTTCCGTAAATGGTGGGTCCATTGCACGTACACATTTAAGTTGCTTGTCAAATTGTATGGTAACTCCCCCCTTCCTTGTTATCCCTGTCTCTCCTGACCAGAACCATATCACCTGCACTGATTTCGTTTTTGGTGATAGTGGGGGTTAGCCAGGTCTCAGTAAGGATGATCATTCCAAGGTGTAGGTGTTTAACTGGAGGTTTCTGAGTTCACTTGCTTTCTCTCTCAGCCCTCTCACACTGCTATACAGGCAGCTGACAGTGAGTCTCACAACCTCAGTGTGTTGCAGGGTAGTTGACTTGAAGCTATCTGCTGGTAGGGGACTTAATATTGAGACTAGCTAGCCGATTCCGACAGAACTGACCCGTTGTCGTCTCTTCCTAGGATTCGGGTAGGACACTTGTGTGTCAGTGACTGTCATTCTCAGTATCGCATCGCTGTAGTGTCACTGAGGCTTGGGGACATACAAGGACCTCAGTTTGCTGCCTCATTATGGTTCGAGGTCTGCTTTCGCAACGTCGAAATTGCCCTTAGAATTTACCCTTGGTCTCGTACCATCGTCGAAGTACTGGAGCCAACTGTTGCTCAGAGTTGAATTTTACGTTTAGCAGCCTCGGGGAGCTAATCAGTGTGAGATGAGGTAGCTGTGAAGTCGAGATTGCTCCAGAAGCACCAGAGGGTCATCTGAGATGACAGTCATCTCCATCTATCCCCAGCTTCAAACTGCCGCCCACGACAAGGGAGGTTGAGGGTGCTATTATAGGGTTTATTCCACACCCACAGTGAGTACTTCTTGTACGGCAATAGGTATTACTGGCCAAGGATTCGGATACTTGTCTTGATAGAACAGTAGGTTACTTCAGTAGTTCCACTGGCCGCCTTGACGTTTAACATTTACATTGGTAATGCTATATTTTAATAACATCCTCTGTAATGAGACAATTAGGTGCAATATTTTATTACTTGCTGAGAATTCCATATTCATATCAAGAGAACTGCTTGGAATAGAGCTATTATTTTTCTTACGATACTTCTAAGAGCAGTTTTTTAGCAGAGGGCGTATATTTGTAAACAGGCGCTAGGCACCCGGAGGTAAATCATCTTCATTAAGGACAGCTCTGAATTTTAGTAGGCTGCTGCTGAACATCAACACGTTGGAGAGGTAAAATAATACGACAGACTACCCTAAAGGTCACGTTCGGTTCTCGGTTGGCCCTTCTATGATTGGCAACTTTAGTCTACGTCAGAGTTCTACTTATATGGGGAACACTGTATGTTGTAGATTGGTTATCGAGTGCGAATGGAGTTCCTGCAATGCTGGCGTCAACCGTTACCCACACGACGGTGTTTGTCCGGACAGTTTGGGCAGAACGGCCAAAGAACGTAGCTTTGTACGTCCTGCATTTCACCGAATTTATACTCCCAATGCAGTCAAATACAGGATTGAATAACGGAATAAAAATTCTAAACTATACGGAAGATATGTGGTTAAGGAAAATAAACGGGTTATTCATTCGTGATCTTAGCTTACCAATAACCCCGAATTCATCGGTCGTATTTGGATCATGTTACAAATCCTGTGTTATTATGAATGACGAATATGGTATGGCAATTACGATACACATTTCATCCGGCAAGCATTTTAGGGTTTCAGAAATTGTGGCGTGATTAGATAAGTCGGTTGTGTTCGTGTGGAACCATTTCTCAACCCTTCACCAACAATACTCACTATCTGATTTTCGCTTTTTAAAGTGACTGAAGGTCCCTAGGTAACTGGCAATCTCACTAGCTTCCATCATTTTAGCGCAACATATTCAGGGATTTCTAGGCAGTTAAAATGTATATCAAGCACGGTTATTAAAGCATTACGTCCAATAGTTCACCTTTAAAAATTGAAGCCGTAAACTTAGCAAGCGTCAAGCAAGGATTGCTAATTTGGGTATACGGAGTACATGTGATTCTTTAGCGAACTTCTTTTTGTTTGGATTTCAGTGTGTGGGCGTGTTGTGTTATCATTTACTTGGATGAATGAATATTATTGTAAATATTATTCCACTGACTGTTTGGAAAGGAAACTAATGATCTTTTGGCGGAGAGCCTGATGCCCCATACCTCTTTGCCGAAGACTTAAAGATTGTATAGAGCTTCCCCTATTCTAATCTAAACGAGGGATTCACACATATTCAAGATGATCTGGATAGGTTACATAACTGGGGCAATGACTGGCAACTGCCATTCAATTCTGATAAATGTGGTGTCCTATACTTCAACAACTCCCATCCAAATTTCAGGTTGCACCTGGGTGACCATTCTCTTCAAACCCTCAATTCCATAAAAGACCTGGGAGTTACCTACTCACAAAAATTAACATCCAGTCAGTACGCATAATCAGTTGTTTCCAAATGCCGATGACTCACAGGCTTGTTACACCGAAAAATGTACACAACTGAGGCTAGAGTCCTTTTATACAAAGTCATGGTTCGTCCATTACTTGAATACTGCACAACTGTCTTCGGTTTCATGCATGGTATGATAGGGCTCGCATTGAAAATATTCGGCGAAGTTTTACATGACGCCTATTACACAATCATGAAGGACTGACAAACGCGGATAGGTGAAAAATATATGGACTTCAGCTACTTTGGTTAAGGCCCCTGAAACTCAACCTTACATTCCCCTTTCGCCTTTTACATGGCTACATCAAAAGCAGTAATCCAATAGCTTTCAAAAATTTAACCACATATACTCTTAGGAATCATGAAAATACTTTATCCATAACCCGATACCGGACAAAACTGCGGTCACGTTTCCTCAAAACAC